TATATATATACTTGCAAATTACAGATGGACATCGTTGGAATACATATCAGAATTACTGCATGAATGGACAGTAAACCAGGAATGTAGACCCAAAAATGGTTCTCTTGTGGTACTGAATACGAAGGATGGTGTAACGAGCACATCACTTTGCTAATTATTATTATTAGAGAATGTTTAAGTAGTAACAATTGATTGTGAATTTGTCATATCTTTGTAATGACCAACTGAGAATGCTTTCGTTGAAACAAGTTGTGAAGTGTTTGTTATTATTTGAAATATTATTTTGCAATTGAATTGCTCGAATATAGACAATCGGCTGTAATGCACGTTTCATTTATGTTTCGTTTAAAGTTATAATAAAATGAATCACAACAAACGACACGCCTGAATGGAGAGAAGTGATAAGATGAGCCAAACTGGCACAAATACGACACCAAAAGTAGATTGCACCGCCACCTGTCCCATTTCAAGGTCTCCGTTCATCTTATAACACATTTTCACTTCGAATACCAGCGTCAACACCAGTCGTAACCAATTCAACGAGTACCTTCAAGCAAATTCATTCTACAAGCATTCGTCGATTCAACAACAACTATTATAAGCACAGTTTGCTATCCTCAATGATGATCATCGTTTTGCTAATCAATAATAATTAAACTGAACTTCATAAATGTTAAATGAAACTAACTTCAAAAAAGGAGATTTGCATTCGTTCAAATCCAGAATTGACCTAACGAACACAATAAACATGAAGTACCCATCCAATATGTTTATCACGAACAGCGGTATAAATACATACCAATACGATATATTCACAGCCAATTCCAACTTTAACATCTGAAATGCACAATTTGATTTTGCACAATCGTTGTTTACCATATATAAATACTTAGTTAAAAAAGAATTGTTCATGAATATAATAATACCTACAATTAAGAACGTGAATACCAGCAAACCGACACAATTGATCCAAATTTCAAATATTGTAGCATTAGTCCACTGAAGCACCTCCTTTACGGATAACATTTTGTTTATTACTTTTTGGTAGTATTATTATACACCCATATATAATACTGGTAACCGTATTAACATAAATTAAATGAAATCATTGTTTCATTGATTGAATACATCAAAAAATCCAAACATACTTTTCGCTTCTACAAAAGTGATAGGTAATGTTTACGATGGAATAAATATTATCATATATGAATATTTAGTAAGTATGATAGGTACATTCCAATTACGATGCGCTGAATGGAGTCAATTCTAAGCGCATTAATTAAAAACTTATTAATGATAATAATAAAGATGTACCTATCAATTGATCGTTTCATAATTAAATAAGCAACGAAAGTAATGATTTCTAACGACGACAGCACATCTATGATATCCGTAAGTAGTGGAATTCGAGTGGATAAAATTATATGTATGTTTATCAAATATGATTATGAAATGAACATGTTTAAGTTGTTTAAGTTTGAAATATTCAACAATCAACTCTTGTAATCAAACGTATTTATTGCAATAGCATTAACAAAAAAAGTTTATTTCATGGAGATTATTTATGGACATGAATAATCGCAGCATCACAACATATCTGCAAATAAATCGGTAGACAGTAAAGTGATCCATTAAACAGAATGAATTCGGAAAATGAACATAAATAGTAATAATAATAATAATAAGAAGCATACTTATTTGCTCATTACTAAGCCACTTTCTTTAAGTTTCATGATCAAACTTTGCACGTCCTCAACAAAAGTGCCAGCCTTTCTTTTTGGTGGTTCAGAAACCTGCAGTGATGATTGATCACAACCAGAACAACCATATTCTTTCTGTTGCTTCATAAAATTGCAATATAAGACAACTTTAAAATGATAATAATGACAAATAAAAGATTGCAACCTGTAGAATTTGTGTTTGATACGAGAAATCGATGCCCAGATCCGAAAGTTTCAGTTTCTGCAACGGCTTCTTCTTCGCCTTCATGATATTGGGTAAGGTGGCATAGCGAGGCTCATTAAGACGTAGATCAGCAGTGACAATCATTGGACATTTCATCGTTAGCATCTCCAATCCACCGTCAATCTCCCTCAAATTTTCTTCTTATTCAAAACATTATTGGTATTGCATTAGAAGATAACAATGAATATTGCACTACGTTAAGATTATTATTATTGTTATTGTTAAGCCATGCATCATGTTCTTCATTGTGATTCTTTAGCGCAATATCAAAACCAAGAAATTGTTCAAGAGTTGGTGCTCATTTCATCAAATCCAAGAACATACCTGGTGATGTTGAACATGTTTCCATCAGCCTGTTGTATATTTGAAACAAATGTAGCAATAGGCCAGTCGAGTAAGCCAGATAATAACTGACCTGTTTGACAAGAATCATCATCGATTGCTTGTTTACCAACCAAGACAACATCGATAGCCTCGTTCGACACCACATGCTGCATGATCTGAAATGCACAAGTTATTAAGGAAAGTGTGGAATTTCATGTTTTCCATTGACGCAACATCAATTCTAGAAAATTAAAAAGATTATAGGCGAAATAAACCTTAGCCACATGCAACGGCTCTATTCGTTCAGCAGTTTCATTATCCACCTCGACCAGAATTGCTTTATCAGCACCTTTTGCAAGTGCTGTCCTCAAAACTTCCTTCAACAACAATAATAATAAATGTGAAATATACATTTACGGTGTGGTGTATAAGTATAATTTTGAATACCTGTGATTTGGCAGTACCAATGGAGAGGGCAATGACCTGCTGTAAGAGCTTTTTCTCCTTCAGCCTAACCGCCTCCTCAAGAGCAATTTCATCGAAGGGGTTCATCGAGTGTTGAACATTTTCCTTGATCACCCCTTTGCCATCAGGCCTCACTCTCACCTTAACAGCGTAATCTATCACCCTCTTTACGCCAACCAGTCCCGAACGAAGCATATCTCTGTCTGTATGAAGTCAATAATGAGATCAACAATCAACTCACATAATACGACGCATATCACAACAAGATACAGCCGTGATAAAAACAGCTCAACCAATGCATAATGACTGTTATAGCATAAGACGTCACATCGTAGAAATCTTTTATAATTCATCAGCATAAAACATAAGCAATATCCTCATGCAACGCTATCGAAATCCAAATAAACACTAATTACTACAAATGTATGTATCAGGCACAACATTAAACACACTGAACTCATTACGACAATGAAGCAACAAAGTGCAACAAATGATTATAATCTGAAAAGGAAAACGTCAATCAATCAATCAATAAAACGTTCAAGCAATTAATCAGTCAAAAAAATGAAATGAAATTGTACAATTCAAGGAATAGTAAGAAGCACAATGCTCATAATGAATAAGAAAGTAATGCACTATTTTTAATAATGACTTTTATCATCATCTATCTCGTCACATTGCATGTCGACGGAACAGCTCCAGATTACCTTCGATCAATGTGCTGTACGGTGATGAGGCTTTATAAACGGCATAAGCTTTATGCAGCGAACGATAGCACATTAACATTGTTATTAAGGTGACTGTGACTGAATTATTATTATTATTATTATTATTATTATTATTATTAGTAGTAGTAGTAGTAGTAGTAGTAATAGGAGTAGTAGCATAACATCATTTACATTTACATTTTTTGATCAATGAATAGCAGAAATTATGTATGCAGATAAAAATAAACAAACAAATAGATAACTAACGAACATTGGATAAGCGCCATCGATAAAAGAAGAACATGAATGATAATTTTATCATTAAAGCAATATTGCAAATAGTAGTTGTTGCTATCGTTAATGGAACAATAAAAATTGATTATAAATGCACTTTCGATACACATTATAATACTCATCAATAATGCCAACAACGAGAACAACATTAATAATATTTGAGACAATTTATCTATTCTCCTGAATGAATGATAATTACTTTTATAATACAGTGTTTGTGGAAGGGATGGGAGATGTGTAGTGAAAATTTTTAATAAGTGATTTAACGGGGATAGAATAGAGATACTGAATAATAATGGAACGGAATTTGCATTGAAGAAATGGTAACCTTGCAGAGATGAAGGCAAGAAGTGCGTTCACAAACAATAATATGGAAGTACCGACCGCAAATTTGGTATTTGAAATGTGATTGGTGAAAATATCGATGAGTAGCAATGACACAGCCAGTTGTGTGTCAACTATAGCGATAATTAATGCACATTTCCAGCATGGCCATTCCCTCAATTCTTATATCAATATCAAAATGAAAACAATTTGTTCGAGTGGTGTTCACTTACCCTCTGCTGTTGCTGTTGTTGATTCCATATGTGATGTTGTTATTGACGAATATTTCAGCGATGTTCTTTCTATGTTCAATCTGTTTGTAGAGACACTCATATTCATTTACCTAAATGCTCAATCAGATGCTCATTAAAACAAGTTCATTATCAATTACGTAATACGTCCTATACTTTATGTGAAAATGCATGCATGCACATCTGTATACACATAATACGCATATATAAAATATAAACGAACAATAAAACAAAACCTGACTGCAATGGAAATAGGTCAATAGGTCAGTGTCACTCGTCATTCACTTTCTTCATCTTGATATTCATTTCAACGTTCCATATTCACCACTCATTCCTGGCAATTCTATTAATATTTATTATCATATTTATATGAATAACAAATATATGCACATATAAACTACTGTGTATTCTCATGTACAAATTTATTATTATTTGATAGTATTAAAAATTAAAGAATACTGTTTTCAACTTTGCTTCAAACTTTAACAACAATAATGCACTTTTAACAGTTACATAAGTTTTTTTTTTAAAATATTTTTAATTATCATCACTCATCGAATAGTAAAATATTTCAGACGTGCTCAAATGCGGAAGAAATATAAACTGAACTGTGTTACGAATTGGCCTAACCGTCTCTGTAGTGAAGCGAATGGTAATAAGGACGATGAAAACTTGAATAAAATAAGTTGTGAAATGGTATGTTTAAAATAATTGAATACCTCAGAAGTGTTCAATGAACAAATGCCTTTTTCGTGAATGAAGTAGACTTATCTGAAAATAAAATTATTGCTCACATTCTATACCACCGTTTACGAAAGTGTTGAGATGAATGAATTTGAAAGAAGTCAATAATAACATCGAATCGAATGAGGTAATAATTTTTCTAAAGCAAATGAGAAATAGAAATAAATGCAAATCAACTGTTGTCATTATTATTATTATTACTATGTTTATATGATGAAACTCGATATTAAAGATGATATGTGTTGAATTAAGAAACGTTAATACAACACTGAATATCGTTCAGGCTTCAACGAATGCCATAGCAGCTACTAATAACGGTTATAATAATAATGATGGATCAGACTTTATTTCGTCAAAATCGAACTCAAACTTATCAGTAGCACTCACACCATCCAAATCATCGTCACCGACCTCTGCATTTCAACCGTTTAACAACAAGAACAAATACTACCGTTGTTCTTATCAATCAACCAGTAATATCTTTTCTCAAATCATTAAACAACAAAACTTACTTTTATGATATCAGTGTTTAAATTTCTTATTCATTAAATTTCTAAATGCAATCAGTTCATATTCAGTTCAAACGAAACAAACTTTAAGGTGATCATCCACTAAGCAAATACAAATCGTCGTCATACGAGTCATCGTTGTTCCAAGGCAATATCAGTAACTATAATAATAGTAATAATCAATCAGTATTGGAATACTTATTATCGATAAAACGAACAAAATCTCCACTGGTTGCACAAAGTCAAACTGATATTTATTCGGGCTTGAGTAATATTGTGAAAACTCAATATACGAAAACGAACAACATCAACAACAACAAATGCATCAGAAATGTAATTTTGTTTGTTTGTTTGTTTAAATTGAAAATCAGATGAGCACATTTTGGAATGATTTGGTAAAAGAATAGAGGTTTCTTACTGATAGGTGGGAAAATGATGTGAAACTAAAATGATAGTGATAAAAATGAAGGAAGACTATGAAGAGAGAAGACGTCGAAATAATGAAGCAGCCAAGAGATGTCGTTTGAATCGACGACGGATGTTCGAGAATCGGTTACGAAGAACAACTGTACTCGAGTATGAGAATCATCATCTGCGAGATCAACTCATGGTTTTGAATGCTGAATTACGACGTTTAAAGCAACTTTTCAACTGATATTGTCACCGTCTATGTGCATTAGCAACACGTATTACTGCTTATCGGAAAATAATTTTAAAAATTAAAAAAAGTGCACGTCACATAATATAAATAAACTCATATTTGAAATTTATTGGTTTTTTACTGAATATTTCATTGTCAATGAAATTGATTTGCAATTAAAAAATTAGAACATACCTAAGTACCTCTAAGTTATTTCCATATCGTCATATCACTATTGAAGAATAACATATGTTATTGTAATAAATACTCATACGAAGGTATGTGGCGAAGATCATGAACTGTTATTTATATGATAAGTATGCATTTTGACAGGTTGACTTTGAGAGGGAACGATAGGTAGCCGCACACAGAATGAAGAAATAAACTGTGAGTCATAATTAAAGGGAAAAGAAGAATCGAGATAACTGCTGAGATAAAGATAGTGGAATGGTATGATCAAGACGAGTGTAGAGAGCTGTCGAATGAAGATGTTTGGGTGTATTCAAGTAGAATGAATAAAGACTGAATAACGATCCGAAGTGATTATCACGAACAATACATTTAGATCTATTGATACTCATTAGTGGACATACAGTCAACTGTTTTTCGAATAATTGCTGAACAGTACTTGCAGAATTTTGCAGCATTCTTTTACTATTACTCTGGAATGCTTCATAGTGGAGGTTATAAGAAGGTGTAGTTGTCGTTTTAGAGGTGCCGGTTGTATTTGGTATCACTGAAGAATCGATCATTACCTGAAGTGTTTGATAGTGTTCATTCAATTGCATGTTAGCTTTAAAAAAGGTGCTTTAAAAATGCTTTTGAACAGATTACGAATGAAGTGTGCAATGAAAGGAATACAAAAATAAATATTACAAAAGAAATGAAAGAAAAATAACCTGATCTGCGTCAAGCAAGTGTCTACGTACGATTCTCTGAGTTAATACTTTCAGGAATCGAGCTGTTTCGTGAATATCTTTCGTTCGTTTTGTCATGAATCTACAAATCATAGAGTAATTCCATATAATTACAACCATTATGAATTTTCCAACCACTCCGTAACGAAATCAGTTGGCAATGAGCACATTCATTACAATATTGCGAAAATGGATAATAATAGCAATGTGTATATAAATAACGACCCATCATTGATAGTTGTTGAGGATAATGCCTGATTAATAGATTTATCAACATCTTTCGCGTCACCACCTTCCAATAAATAAATAACGTTTTTAATACCGCAATTAGATAATCTTTGTTTCTGTTCCTTATATCTGAATGAAATAACTATTATAGATAATATTGATAATAATGATCATAAAAGTACCTGGAGGTAGTAATACTGCTGAATAAGTCATCAATAGTTTTTCTCTCAATAATATAGTCACACATAATTTCAGCACCATCCTGTGTACGCAAAATCCACACATAATCACCAACTGATAAGGAACGCAGTTCATAAATTACATTCTGTAATGATAGTATGTAATATTACTAAAAGTATCAATTAATAATTAGGAACAAAAGTAAAATTGAAACTGAAATACCAGTTTTTGAAGATGATAACAAATGGATCGAGTTGCGTTGCAATGAGGACGATATTCCCGATTGTCGACCACAAGTATAACCTGAACATGCTAATGTTTTGACTTGTGCGGTGGAATATGAGTGTCATTATTACTTTTTTTAAAAGAAGACTAAATAAAAATAAAAGCAATAGTTGTACAATGAAATACAGCAGTAAACACAGCTGTGTAGTAAATTCGAGATGAGTGTTCATAGCTGAATATACAATTAAGTAAACAAAACTGAACCTGAGCTTGCTTCAAATGTTCGGAATGGACTGCCACATTATGCTGAATTGGTACTGGATAGTTAATATCGCCATTGTTATAACTATTACTATTATTATTATTGTAACATATACGAATGGTTGAATAATTAAAAATAAGACGACGAAATGAACGTGATGGAATCATAATCAAATGCCCGTAATACAGAGCTTCTTGCAGCATTCTGAATTGTTTGAAAAAATGCTTCGGTGATAAAAGTTTGTCATGGTGAATAGTGGGTATATGCCTGATGTTATCGACTGATGAACGCAAATTGATGAACGGGATGCAATCTCCCTTCTTCAAAGCATCAATATCTCGTAATGTTGGATTCATCGATTCAGAGCAGTAGCACTGCCATCCTTCGTACAATTTTATCGCTATATATTCACCAATTCCTTCAAGTGAAAGCAATCTTAATAAAACATTTATAAGCAAAAAGAAAACAGTTATAAACAGTTAAGTGTAGAACATTAACACTTAAATATAGAACACTTATTGCTTAGTACGGTTAGGTTGCAATTATGTATGGAACGTTTATAGTTAAGCATCGTCGAAAGAAATATTAAAGGAGAACAAGAAAAAACCTTTAATTTGTTTCAGTTCGTAAATGGAAGTGATTTGAAGAGGATATGAGCTTAAGTTGAGTCTGGCATTTAATAGACATCGACGCATTTTGTGGTCGTTGCTTGTAATGGATACCCAATCATCGAGTAATTTCTTGAGGAATGTGTTCATTTTGTGCCGTTTGCTTACTTTGATTAATGTTCGTTGGTGGTGTTGCTGGTGACGGTGCATGACATGTTTCATCTTGAGAGTGCCTACTTCTTCCAAAACGAGACTACCTCTTGATGGTGAAAGTGATACTAAACAACGTTCTTCGATCTTGTTTGACGTGAATCAGCCGTGAATCGATCTAGAACAGTGTTGAAAGAACAGTTCAGAAATGCAAAGCAGTTTATTTTAAATAGTGTATATGAACAGATAATCATCTACATCAACGTCATGCAACAATCACGTTCTGCGTATGATCAATAATACACTGATGTATCGAAATATTTATTCAATAAATGTTAGTTCTACAATAGTATGCGTCGTCATAAAAAATGGTGACAATTCTATTTCATACATTCACAATCTCATAAAATCGTTCATCTAACCATTAAACATCACTGCTTGTGTTTAACAAATCCTAAGTGAATGTAAATTACACGAAGAGTCACATAATAATACACCTCAAGTTTGTCGTATAGAAAATAACCATGATGCACATTAGAAAAACAAAATATTATTTCATTTTGATAATTTACGTTTTGCGTTTAAATAGAACGAACTAATTTTATGGAGATACGTGTCGAATAACCGGTACAAATGAACAAAGTAGGAAAGCATCAATGTGGACGCATGATAACCACGTTTTGCTAAATGATACACACTTTTTGCAACATCACTGCCAATCAATCCAAGTAGTATCTGAATTAAAATATCATATAATAGCATAAAGTATCATTTAATAAGGTTATAAGTGATCATAACTAACCATAAATCTTGTCAAGGCATTATTTCGTATGATCTGATAAAGCTGTGATGGGTAAGCAGCTATTGATTCGACCCAAGTTTCTCTTTGCCATATTCCTAGACCTCTGCGATCAGCTATCTGAAGCGTTCAATATCATACTTGATTACTGCACAATAACAACAACACGGATAATACCAATGATGGTAAAAATCACCTGTTCGGAAACCAAAAGTCTGGATACAAGCCTGGAGTAGGAAGGATATGCCTTTATGGCGTCAATATGCTCGGCATCACCACCATCCAACACCCGTGCATAACCTTTCCTTATCAATTCCAAATTCAAGTTCGATCGAAATATTCTATTCTAAAGTAATTATTTTAACAACTTCCCTTCATATGTCGTCACATTACTAAGGAATGAATGATTTCGTATTCAAAAGTCGTTCATAAGAAAAAGCAAATGATTGTTACATGCAACATATGTAAAATAATAATAACGATAGCAATAATAAAACGTACGTTTTTAAGAATAACATCAGCATCAATAATATCAACATCTGAATGTATGGGCTTGATAACTGTGAATAATATTTGTTTATTTGTCAAATTTAAATCCTTTTGCAAGTAATCAATGCCAAGCTGTGATAAATTAATTCCACTCAATCTAACGTTTAACTCATTGCATTCCTGCAAATATGTTTGGTGGTAAACATAGGGTATGCTTTTATGGTGTCAATATACTCGGCATCAGTTCATATACAACAACGAAAAACAGATAAGAAGGCAAGAAGAAAGGAAACGAATGAAAGAAAAGAACCTTAATATAGAAATAAAAGAACAAATAAAATAACAATAAAATGAGAGAACAATTAACAATAACAAACAAATAAAAGAACCTTATTTTGAGACTTGCTGAGTGATGAAAGAAGGGAAGGAATATTGACAAATGGTTCATGTTCAACTTTGATAATACCATTAGGAAGAATCTTCTTTATTCTACCATTTAATTGCGTTTGATTCCGTATGATGTTGTCTGGTATATGTGAGGCTTTTTGGAAACGAACAAACTGTAAATAAATATAATCAATTAGCATTATTGGAAAGAAAAAACGGTTTATTGTCTGTTCTGAACAGCAATGAGCATCCATCGCAAACTAATTAAAAGTAATGAAATAATGAAATGAAAAAGCAGCAACATACAAATCGTGAATGCCTCAAGAAAAGAGAAATGCCCAGCAGACCAGAGCCTATTATGGTTCCCTTAAAAGCAAATAATCATCACCTCTTTCGTAACTGGCCACTCTTCAAAACTACATCCCAAATTGATCTGTCATTAAGAAAAATTAAGTAGTAAACCAGCATTAAAAGTGATATTTAAAAGATGTATAACTGAATCGAAACATACCCGGACAAGCAATGCTGAGTATTTATTGATGGGGTCGAGCGTTTTCAAAGATTCCTTTGCAGGCAACGAGGACCTCACAGATGATGATACATTCTCATTTAACAATTCGTGTGCATTATTAAGAATATCACTATTATTAGTCATACTGAAAACCTGAAGTAGTACGTAAAGGTAGTGAATGATATGAACAGCCGAAATACTGCCTAAACTTCGTAATTGTAAGCCAAATGGAACATTTGCTGTGATTATGAGATAGTATGTAGTACTATAGAGGAGATGGAGATGCAAATAATTGGGTACTTGTGCTGTTTAGTCCCTCCACCCGTACGCAAGATCACGCGCGCGTGCGCGTAGCCACGCCCACTGGGTGCTAGGGTATGGTCGAAGTCGGTATAACAGAATGGGTGTGGCCTAAAGCGCGTATGGTTCACGTTATGATAATGATGATAAGAAAATATTGATCTTGTATACGAAGATCAAATGACAGTGAAACGATAAGTATAAATGAGTATAAAACATTTGTCAGGTTCATTTTACAAATTCATCTGTAATGGTGTGGTTGTGTGGATTGGGTGTAGGTGCGGTGCGGTGAGATTGTAGATGGGTTTGGATGTTGTTGTTTAATGACGTATTATATGATATATGATTATAGAGTTGGAGGGTCGGGAGTGTTCTGACGGCGTTTGGCCCTTTTATCGCAATAGATAACATTAATTTTATTTGCTGATTACGTGTTATTGGTCCGTTTCATTTTACAATTTCATCTGTTGTGGTGTGGTTGGCTGGGCTGTGGGTGGGTGCGGTGCTGTGAGATTGTGGTTGGTATTTGGTATAGCATATCTAGTATTTGGTGATATTACCTCAATTGACATGAATCGATTGATTCATGTGAATTGAGGTAATATCACCAAATACTAGATATTGTTTATTGTTATTCTTAATATTTATTAGTAATACCGTTTTGAGGTGAATTATGAAGTGATAAGTAAATATAAATCATTGTATGTACAATAAAAAAGATTGGAATATTTTAGAAAACTGAGACGGCACGTGGTGCGGCGAACAGAACGAAAAGTCGCTCGTTTGGCGAACTTTCGTTTCGAGACCATAACACTGAAACTGGTGTAATGGCAGTGTGGTCGATCAAAGATTGGTCGGCCTGCCGATGTGCAGTTCAATTCCGGGCGGGTGCATTGGGGAAGAGAACAGCAATTCTAACCTAGCCATTCGGTCTTTAGGCGATAGACCAATGCCGGTCCCAAGCCCGGAAAAATAGGGAGGGTTGGAGACTCGGGTGGCGCCAGTCTCCTTAAAACAGCATGCTGAAGCAAACGAAGCACGAGGAATAAACTGTAATGTGGGCCACCCTGTAAGTTAGTTATTTTTTGTCATTGCATCAGTAATTCAATCTGTCACCATTCATATGTGCATGATTTACATTATCAATCGTAATGATAATGATAATAATGTATTCCCTACCCACGAACCTCACGCTTCTTCAGAATTCCATCCGTCGCATTGACATGGCGTTCCCCTCGCGGATCGTAGAAAGCAGAGTAGCGCCTGCTTTCGTCAAACAACAGCTGAAGGTAAAACAGAAGTAAGCTGAGTTGGAACATAGTGGACCAATGGATCACAGGTACAGTTTAAGCTTTTTTTTTAGGAGTTTAAGGGTCGCCCGTAATAAAATTTAATTCAGATTTTTAATATATAGATGTTATTATTAATCAATGATTTCAGCTGTTATAAATAGTTAGATAAAAGCGTATGTACATAGAAATAAATTGAAGTAAACTATTTATAAATTGTACAGTTAATCTGTAAATTAATAAATATAAATGAGTTGTATGATACTATGTTTTATTGATGTAATCTTTTTTCAATTTCTTAACTGAACTGAATTTCATGAGCGCAAAGATTAACAAA